CAACCATAAAAAATATCTCTTAAAGACTTGTGAAGCACCTACTGCAATTTTTGTAACTTACCCAAAGAACAATATAAAGATATACATACAGTTAAACTAGGGTTTGTGATAAGTAAAGACATCGAAATCGTAAAGCATGTATTTTTGGACTTTTTTTGGCTAAAATTTCAAAGGATTATAATGTGCGTCATAGGCCAACAGCATTTCTAGTAGCTGGATCTAATTTAAGGTCTGTACAACTACTCATATGCACGACTGTTCTATGCATGGACAGAGTTTAAACAGGAAACAGAACCGATTTCCTCAAAGAAGGGAAGAAGAATATACAGAAGTTATTTGCAAAAAAACAAAAATTAAGTGGAAATTTACGAATTCATCAGGTCAAGAGGGTATTACTGCAACTTGTATTGTAGCGCGACAACTCCTGAAGAATAAGATAATTATAAACCAGGCTACTGACAACACTTCAAATCAACATGAAATAATATCAGCAGAGAGGTATGGTCTCATTGTGTTTTGGATTATTCGTGTCATCAATGTCATCAAGTTAGAAAATATACATATAGGCATATAGACAAGTAACAAGACATTTTTTTCTAGCTGGTACTCAGAAAAATTGCCAGTGAGTTACTTTGATAACGAATATTAATAAACTATCAGGTCATACTTGGGAGCCTATTGAGTTAAACAATAATACAGGTCTTTAATTATTACGTGAGAAAGTCATGGAGGCAAACAACAAACAACTGAAAATTTTGAGAGAAAAATTATCAAGAAAAACAATTCATTTGCAGAGCTTGTAAATATGTTTTAAAAAGTAATGAAGCAAAGGATAAATACAACTCAAACCGTGTAGTAGGATGGTACAATGACATAGTTTAAAAATATTTGCGAAAAATCTAACGATGCATTATAAACGTTTCTTTTTTTTTATACTTTTTTAATTTTTTTTAAAAACTAAAGTCATCATTTTATACGCAACCTATTAATGCCAGCAATGATAATGACTTCTAGCCGATTTTCATTTGACTAAAACTTTTTCATTTGACGAAAATAATTGACTAGAGGTCATTATTATGGTAATGATAATGACTTCTATTCATTGAGCTTTATTCTTTTGCATTTAGTTGGTATTTCATACTTTTTTTAAAAAATTACAAATTGACAAATTAATTTTATAATTAATCACCACTGTATCGCAGTTTCTTGCAGAAAACCATTAAACTGTTATCAGCACAAGCAACAAAGAAAAAGTGTAAAACAACTAATGAGACGAAATACTCTTGCTGCTAATTTGTTTTCCTATTCTGCAGTATGGAGTGGTTTTTGAACAATTTGACTCTTTAGTATTTTTTAGAATTATTCTTTAGTTTTTATTTTTCAAAACTTTGAACTATTTGAAAATTCCTTAGTTAAGTTCCTACTGAAACTTTAAGTTCCTACTGAAAAGTTAAGTTCCTACTGAAACTTTAATTTAAAAAAAATTAACGAGTTTGCAAATTCTTTTTCATTTTATTGTAATTCTATTTTACTCCATTGTGAAATCATAATAGTCAATGCAGGCAAAACATGAGTAATCAGTGAAAAAAAATTTTGTGTATTTAAGTTGAACTGATATGCGGGAAGAAGGATTTGCAAGTACAGTTCAATTGTATCTAGTTCAATTGGACATTGATTTTCCGGATCGAATGCATTTCTATTATAAGCATTTTGAAAAATCTGTAACATTAGGAAAGCAGCTGACCAATCAATTCCATCACAACTTGTTTGTAATTTAGCTTTATTTTTTCTGTGGTATTGAACTCTATTTATAGATTGATTTGTATTTTTTGAGTACTTTGAAAGCGTTGCAAGTAAATGGCATATATTTTTCTTTCTTAATAGCGATACGTACAGCGATGTTTGTTTTATGAGCTGCTCAAGGAAAATGCGGTAGTTTTGATGTTCCTAATTCAATTTCAAGATCTTTAAATAGCTCAGCAATATGAAGATTATATTCATTATCTTTGTTAAATTCATAATTGATGTTTACTTCCTAAGCTGTTTTGGCTAACTGAATAACATTCGTAAAAGTAAGCTTCTTTGATTCAGCTAATAGCACTTCAAGAAGTTCATCAGAGGATTGAATTTCAATATTTAAGACTTCATCTTTACCTAACTTTAGCTGCTCATTATCTTTTTTTTTAATATAATGGGCAACTTCTAGGTTCAGCAATGGATCATCTTCATATGCACTATCGCCACCTTTTGATTCTTCAACTCTTTCTTCTTGAGACTTTTCAAATAATTGCCTAAACAGTCTGACGAATGAGCTTCCTTATCACATGTAATAGCTTTTAAATAAATATAACTTAATTAATCAATAAATTCATAGTGTTTACAGTAATTAAAGCTATAAAGTTAAAAAAAAATTACCAGGTAACTTTGACTTATTGAAGGTAAAGGTATTAATAATCTTTTCAACTCCTAATTTAATATTTTCTGCATTGTGACGTCCCGTCATCTGTTCCATACCAATAATGATGATTTCTTTTTTTAAATCACTGTTTTTTAATGTTACATCAACCGTAATAAAGTATAGTATGCAGAATGTCTGCATATTGTTTTGCAATATACACAACAATTTGCAGAAAAACTCAACATAATCGTGTGACTTTTTTTATTTGAGTTTCAGATGTAGCGAAATGAAGATGTGAAGTATTCTCCTAAAATATATAAAAATCATTCGCTAATTGCTCTTAACAATACTTTAAATCTAAGAAAAAGAAATTTTAATACCCGTTTAACTAAATTTTAAATAAACTTCTTTTTCGGAAAAATGTTTCTTTGACCAAAATCTTGAATTTTGTTTATCAAATTACACGAGTCTTCAGATAATTTTGGCAAAAGACCCTGAAACCTTAATCTTGGGTCTTGCTGTATGGAAGGAATAGAAATATTCGAATCTGAAGTATTATTCGAAGACTTAGTCGATAATGATGTCAACGCTGTACTTATTGTCTGCATAGTAGATTTCGTCATTTTTGTCGGATTTACAGATCTTGTTCTATATGAAATTATTTCTCCAGATTTAGATGCAGACAAACATGGAGATAAATAAGTTTGTAATTGCAACTGTTGTGATTGCAATGTTTCTTCATATCGCTTTTTTGAACTAGATAGATATATAATAGATCATAATCTTGCATTGTGCTATTAGCTGAATAAAAAAGCTCATAATAGATCATACTCTTGCAAGATTGATGAGTCATATTAGATTAGATATTTATAAAACGATTAAGTACAAATTGGTTTTGTTTGTTTAAATAATTTTTTTTTATACTAGATATGTATAAGCTGCATATCCTTATATCACAAGGAAATATATATATATTTATATATATACATATATATATATATATATATATATATATATATATATATATATATATATATATATATATATATATATAAACATATATATATATATATATATATATATATATATATATATATATATATATATATATATATATATATATATATATATGTATACATATATATAGATATAGATATAGATATTTCCTTGTGATATAAAGATATGCAGCTTATACATATCTAGTATAAAAAAAAATTACTTAAACAAACAAAACCAAAAATAAAAATCGTTTTATAAATATCTAATCTATAATGACTCACCATTCTTGCAAGAGTAAGATCTATTATGAGGATGTCGTATAATCTAGTTCAAAAAAGCGATATTGCATATAGCATAAAATATTCCTTATAGCATAAAGAAGTCTTTCTCTCTCTATATATATATATATAGGAGCTTCTTTATGCTATAAGGAAATGCTATTAGACTTATCCATTAAAACATATTATTACGTGATTTAATATGCTATTAGGGCATTTTATAACGGATTTAAAAAATAATTCTCAAATAAATTTGTTTAAAATGATATTTAATTTCCATTATGATGACTTCTTTTAAAATGAGTGTATTATGTTTTTATAATGAATGAATTTAGTCAGTTTTTTATAATAATTGAAATGAGCTTACAAAATTAAGGTATATACATTTTTTTTTTAAATAGTTTTGTTTAAAATAAAAGTACTGTATACAACGGAGTATTATCGTGTTCAATTTGAGAACGGAAAATAAGTTTTTCTTTGTTTTAAGCAGTTTTTAAAGTGTATTTGTGCGCTTACCAATCACATAGTATTTTTGTTGTTGAGATCTTGTTTTAAGCGATCCTTTTTATATATAAAATGTAAAAATATACCATGGGGCAATTATTCAAATTAATTAATTGCCTATGGCTGGAAATAGATCTACAAAAAAACAAAATAATTTAAAAAAAAATTTTTACTAATAGAACAATATAGTGTTTAGTAAAATTAGTAAAAAGGGGAATATCCCGAGCAGCACAACTTAGTAGACCCAACGTTGGCCCAACATATTTCTGATTGTTGGGCCAACGAGGCGTTTTGGTAGGCCGTAAGTTGGCGTCGTACTGGCATATGGTTGGCTGCCCATCGTGCCTACGTTGGCGTAACATACACTTAATATTGTTGGCGCAACGTTGGCCCACTTATGGTTTTAAGTTGTTGGTGCAACGTTGGCCGAACTAAGTAAAACAGTTGGCGACACGTTGGCATAACGCATTTTGTAAAATGCTGACTTTACATTGGCGCACCGTTGGTATGGGTTTGTAGAGGGTATGTTGGCGTAATAATGTTTAAAGGTTGAAAACGCGTTGGCATATGATCGGTCGCCCATCGGGCCAATGTCGGCATCGTGTATACTCAATGTTGTTGGCACACTGTTAGTTTTATATTGTATTCGCATTTGTGCATTTTATTAACGTCGGCCTAAGACTTCAAACATTGTTTCCAACAATGTTAGCAACGCGTTGTGTGACAACTGGGATGATTTGATACTCATTGAACTAACGTTATTACGAAAGTTGAAAATGTAAAAGTATTTAAAGTTACATAAAAGTATTAAAGTTAATAAATTTGTTGGTTTCTAGTTAAATGTTTATTCGTTACAAAATAATTTAAACTATTACACACAAACAGAAAAATCATAAATTATATATAAAAGTATATAACTAAAATCGTTAAAATGATGTTTCTTCTCATCCCTCCACAGGAATTTCGCGAATCGAAGCCATCCTTTACTGGCACAAGCAACCTTGCATCCGTACCGCGACATGTTATAGGATTACGCCGAACAGCATCTAAACAAAATAAACATGTATTATGCATACACACTTATAAGTATTAACTATTAACTCATTTACTTTCATATATATAAAACGATGAAAATTATAAGTAAATATTTTTTAATAAAAAAAACATCAATAGTAAGATGAAATAATGACATTTTAAAACAAAAAATTACACTATTGACAAAGCTTGCTATGGCCTAAGGCATATTTCCCCTCCCAATTACTAACTACTTCTATGTTGTTTGATATTAACCGCCTAATAACATTTTTAGTTGATTCAGTGATAGTTTTTCCGCCACACCAGAGTTAGCAAAAACCCGGATTTTTTAAAAAAAAAACTGGTTTAGTGGGGTTTTTTTTGGGTAACTTAGGGTTTTATTGGGTAAACTTGGGTTTTTTCGGGTTTTATTTTTATTTCGTCTGTGTAAAAATTTTTTTTCAATGATATTGAAAAAAAAAAAAAAAACTAAATGAAATTTTCTACTTTAATTTTATTTAAAATATATTTATACGTTATTTAATAATTCATAAGAACTTTTCAAATTAATTTAAAAAAGCTTTTTAAATACAATTTAAAACTATAATAGAAAAAATTATACTTTGCGTTAAATCTGTATTGGTTTAATTTAAATTTAAAAGTATTATTCTATGTAATTAAAAATGTCAATGAGAAATGGGAAAAAGAAGGCTATAGAATAGGAGGTAGTAACTAAAGTTTCAATTAAAATTTGAACTTTAAATTTAAATGAACAAACTTGTTTCTTTGCGCAATGGCCTTGTTTATAAAAAATTGTGTTTAGGAGTTAAAGAGTTAAAAGAGGATTGTAACCACAAGGTAGCCTCCTAGACTGTAGTGGCTTTCTCTGGCCACTAATACTCATTTAAATTCACCTAGGGAGGTGAATAACATAAAAGATTAAAAAATCTCAACTGATAAAACTATTTTAATAAAAATTGTTATAATGTATTTCCAAGTAATGATTCAAATATTATTCTGATAGCTGTTATTGTTGGTTATAATAGTTAATAATAATTTAGTTAATAATAATAACTAATAATTATGTTAGTTAGTAATATTATAGTTAATAATGTTAAAGTAAGTTATAACAGTTCATAAACTTATTAAATATCTTTAAAAAACTCAATAACACTCAGATTTAAGCGGGTTTTATTGGGTTTTTTTAGGCGGGTTTTTTTGGGCGGGTTTTTTTAAGCAGTTTTTTTAATGCCAAACCTGCGCCACACTAACCTAAATAACTAAAGGGACTAAAAAAGGTCTAAAAGGAAAAAAACAATTTTAAAAGATATTATTTACTATGTAATAAATTTAAAGTAACTTGAATAAGGTAACTAAACAATTATAACAAATATCTTACAAACTATCCTGGGAGGTCATTGTCAAGGCAATCTGTATCTAATTTTTGTTAATGTTCCATTGATGAAACACGAAACCCAAACTCATCAAAACTTGTTTTTATATTACCACACTGCTGTTGTGCTGATAATTGTTGCAGAAGAAAAATTATATTTTGATTTTTTTGTTTAATCTCTTCTAATAATATTAGTTTTCGATGATCATTTCCTAAATGCGAAGAAAAATAAAGTAAATATATATATTTTAAACACGCATAATAATTCTTTAACAAAAACTATAGTAATAATAGTATGAAAATATTTTCTATATATATTAAGTTCATATGAACAAACAAACAAATTCATCATTTGCTAATGCATAAATAAATGTAACACACCTCCAACATGACAATTGACTAAATCAGGTGATAACTGCTCTACTTGCAGTGCTATTGTAACTGCTCTACTTGCAGTGTTATATACTAACTGGCATTAATATTGATAATGGTAGTGTAGTTTGGTTGTCTATTTAAATATTTAAGCTTATTTTTACAAGCACACATATACAAACAGACAGTTTGCAAACCATAATTTAAACTTTAAAAATTGTAAAACTTTCAAGTTAAAAAAAAATGTGTTGACCAACCTTTTTTACAAAAAGATAAATCATTTAAAAATAATAACGAGAGAGAGCAGATAGTAGATGATGCATTTTGAATTTCTATGCACAAATAATGCATTATAAACATATTTGTAATATCAAATATTTTTCAAAACAAAATATAGTACAATATAAAAACATATTTTAATTTTTTAAATGTCATTAATGGCCAATTATAATCATTAATGTTAAGAATGTTGATAGATCATTAATGATCTGTAAAATATTTATTAAGATGCAAAAATCTAACCGGATTGCAACTGAGGAGGA